GGGGGCGGGGCCCGGTGGCCGCTTCGCAGGAGCGTGGTTGCCTGCGCATGCGTTTGTCGGAAGTGGAGGGAGGTGACTACTAGTATCGTCAGATCTCCGAAAGAGTCTGGAATGATCACTTTCCCTTCGTCTCTTAAGCAGGTTGGATAGAGACATTCTCCTATTTTCCCTAGATTTTGGTGTTTGCCTTGGAGATTGGGATGTTTCTTGTTCATAATGGTTATATTTTTATGATATTTGGATTGGATTGATGGATTCTTGCCCCAATTTCCATTTTTTTGGTTTAGATTTTTTATCCGTGTGATTCTTTCATCTGCTATATCTGTAAGTTGCCATCATGCTTGTTGATTGTGGGTGCAGCCAGGGCCGCCGGATACACCAATGCAGTGCTTCATAAAGAGAGATCAGCAGAGTTCTACCTTCCACCTTTATCTTGGCATAGCCCATAGTAAGTAAGAATATGCAAACTTTTTGTTCTTTCTGCAACAGTTTGTCAGTCTGTCTTCGTTTTAGGGGAGGAAACATCATCTCTTTTTGAGGGTGAGAAAACTTATTGTGTAAATAAATTAATATTAAAAAATAATAATGAAATAGATAATATATAATTCAAAGTAATGACTTAGATTTTATTCTGATAAATGATTTGAATAATGATTACAAGATTTTCAATTTATTTTTTATTTTTTTCATAATGCTGCATGATAACTTTATTGGAAAATAGTTTTTTTTTCTTAGTTTTGTGCAAATAATTTCATTTTTATTTTGGGGGGGAATATTACCAAAAAACAAAAAAAACTAGGCTTATGTTGTTGTATTGCAACTTGTTAACAGTAGGGGAGTTTAGTTGCAACCAAATGGAACATTTTGTCTCTGGAACATATGGTATTTTAAACTTGTTCAGTAGACTTGTGCTGGTGACCTACTATTATGTAGCTGGCTATCTGCTTTTGCCTAAGAACTTTCTCAATTTTTGATGAGCATGAAATATATAAATTTCTTTGTTCATCATCGGTTTAAGTTGCGGATTACATTTTGTTAGATAAATGGTTTTTTGAGGCTTGAGTTGTTATTAGAGATTAATTCCCATTAACAGACTTAACGCAAGCAGTGACTCATAGTATTTTATTGCAATAATTTGCATTGCATAATTATAGTTATATATATTGTTCATAATGGCACGTATCTTAGGGTTGTAGTTTTACCATTTTTTTTAAATTGAAAACTAATTTGCTAGACAATCTGGACTTGCTCTGGAGTTGACTTCTCACAAAGTTGCATACAACAGAGTTTAGCTCATGCACATCATGCTTGCAGTACAAACCATGATTATGCATTCACACAATTTGGGATAAATCACTACATAATTATCGGAATTACAATCACAAACTTATTTGATACAAGGCTCGTTAGTCATTTATACGTTTGCATACAAATTATAAACGCTTGCACACTTTCTAGAGCACACTCATAATATGCATGAATATCAGTAGTCTGCCACATGTGCATGCTAGTCTATCCATGCCTTCAACCACTGCCAAATTACTTTGTTTTGTATTATTATAGCAGCCATACCACTTGAAGAGTGTGTGCAAATGTTTGTCACTTGAACACTCTAGCTGTATTTGCGCCTCCCTTAAATGTCACTTGGGAATAACAACCCATCTGACATTCTTTTGAAATAGTTTTCACTCACTGAACATTATGCTCGTGTAAACACCAATTATGTGTTCACACCTGCATTTGTGCACATTTTTTGCATGTGTGCAAATGTTAATAATTTGAGCGCAGTACCACAGCTGTCCCATTTACACAAACCTTCACAAGTAACTTTGAATGCTTCACAAATCTTATTGTTCCTACTGATGGCACCATTTTTGCAGATGTATCACACAATTTATATTCTTTGTTTGCAGATAATGGAGCACTGCTGCCATATTACATATTTATACAAGCACTTACCTTTTGTGCACACATGGGTGCATGTGGTTGATAGTACCTACCAACAACACCACTACTGACGTGCATCACACAATTTTCCTATGTTACTTGCATTTGTGAATTGGCTTTACACATTCTTGCCTCACATGCCACTGTCATGCGGGCAACGTACGCACACTCCCATTCTAAACCTTCGATCATATGAACAATTCATTCCAAACACAACCTACTTTAGGTACACACTGCTGCAAGCACATGCCAATTGCACACATAAGCCACTGCAAGCACAGTCCACCATAAATATAAGCCATTGCATGCATAACCCACCGCAAGCTTAACTCACTTTTTGATTAAACCATCACAAGCACCAGCACAAGCCACTACGAACAGAAGTAAAAAATTTGTCTTGTTTGGTATCTTTTTACTAGAAAATGGTGCAATTCATCCAACCAAATGCCTTTGTCCATAGTTATGTTATTGGGGATGTCCCCACTAGAACATTTTGGTGCCATTGTCAGATTGATGTGAATGTTCACACTGTTATGTTCTTCAGATTGATACAAATTGGCTTCCTTCTCCTATGTCATATCTCAGTCATTTATTCCTTTCCATTTGATTTAAAATTTGGTTCTTCTATTTTTCTTACTCTACCCTCAAACTCTTTGATCAAGGATCTTTTACATTTCTTTGCCAAATTTTGTCCTAATTGTGGGAGGTGCTGTGTTTCTTGCATTTCATCTTTTATGTCTTCATTGTATTGTTTCAATAGTTCACAAGAAATGTGGGATGCATTTTGAATCTCAAGATTTTGTAATTCAAATGCAAAATTCCCTACCTTGCTCACTATTTAGAAGGAACTACTGTGTTTTCGAACCATCCTATGTCATACTAGCTTAATTTTAATTTTATTCTAGATTTTGAAGAGTCAATTTAAACAACATCACATCGCCGGCAATGAACTCCAACAATCTCCACTCCCCTTATCTGTATGCCTGTTCACATGTTGAGTTGCTTTTGCTAGTTCGTTTCCCTCATAATTTAACACTTGCTAGTCCGATTCATATTGATGCGGGGTAGGACGTTTGTCACTCGAGCATTGTTATTCCATATTAAGGGATTTTAGGTGCTTCCACCTAACCACCATCTTAAAATTGTTCTTTTTTTATGTCTGAAGATTATTGAAATATATCAAGAGATGATTGGTTCCCAAAGCCTGTCGTATTTAATTGATGCAGGGACATGTTGAAATTCAATTGTGATTGATTAAAACTTGTAGTATTTAATTGAATCTTTAGATAATTCTAAGGGATTTATTATTTTGGGTCTTTTGTGGGCTATAAACAGGATCCCTAAAACTTATAATTTAATGGCTCAATAAAATTTTGTCTTCCCTGTCAATACTTCTGTGTTGTTGGATGTGAATTTCTTAAGTGCTTTATAGGGTTTGGCAACTTCTGTGTTATGCTTTTCCTTACATTAATGAGGCTTGCATCTCATGTTTAATGATTTTTATTATTATTATTTTTTACTTGACAGCAACTTTTGTGGGATATTTTTTCTTATATTGATGAAACTTGGATCTCTTATTTAGTGATTATTATCATTATTTTTCTATTATCTTGTTTAGTGATGGTGTGTGTGATTGAAGCTTTGTCAAGTTTGATACATGCTTGCTAACATTCTTTTTGTGTTGTGAATCTTGTTGTAAAATGTTATATTACTCTCAATTTTCTTTTGAAAATTAAGAGTTTGATGATTGTTAATTATTGCTTGACATGGCTGAAATGTTTTTTGATTTTGCATCAAAGTTGCCTATCCTTTCTAAAATCAATTTTTGATATGCAAATTTTTATCTTTGGTTTTCTTTTGTGCATCTCATTCTTGGTTTGCATTAGTAAATCTTAGACCCTAAGCTTTTCTACATCAGGTGGGCTATGGTCGAGGAATCTTATGGTTCTTATCATTGACATCAAATTTATTTATTTATTTATTTTTTTTGTTGAAAGAAGGATGTAATCCTCATAATGTGGAGAATATAACTTTTATGATGAGTGTTGCGTGGGGAATTTATGCAAAATAAAAAACTTATGGCTGCACTTGTTGATGTGTATTGGCCTATTTTTATGCATGAGCAATAGCAATTTTCTCTTATGCTGATCTAGATTTTCATGATGATTTATTTTTCTAGTATCTCAAACCAAAATTCCTTGTTCAAATTAGTTGATAATGCAAAATTTTTCAAAGAAATTTCAATTTTTTTTTCCTTGTATAGCAGTATATTAGGGATGATCTCTACTGAACCTGTGAGACATTCTATTGAGCTCATCTATATCATCGAGAAGCTTGAATAGTCTTCATTACTGGTTTTTCCCTCTATCCATGTTGTCCACCTTTTTCGGTTTGAGCCAGCTTTGAACGTTAAGCATCTACATCTCATACATAGTAATGTACCATTTTCTAACTAATCCTCTAAATTCTTTTGGTTGTCCTGACAAATAGGATGCATTATTTTTGCTTTAAAGAGTGAGTATTCTTTTTATGAACATGTACATACATAGCACACAATTCTTATTTATTTACATATCTCACACCTGAATTTTCATATTTACACACATAGCACTCATATCCTTAATATGGCATAAAAAACAGCACTATGATCACTTTTTAAAAGTGAAATACACCTTTTCATGCATCGGGTTAAAGCACTGTAGTGCTATATATGTAAATATGAGAGTTTTGGTGTGAGATATGTATTCATAAGAATTGTGTGTTAGGTATGTAAATTTCCCTTCTCTTTAAACCATCGTTGCCGTGATTTTGATTAGCATGCATCATTCAAATGCTTTTTAATGTTTTAGATATCTTTATGATATAATTTATTTTTGCAGCATTTGCTGATAGAGGGAAGTTTCTAATGGCTGCTCAAAGACATAAGAGTGGTGCTCGCAGTGAGTATGTGCTTTGTATTGATGCTGATGACCTGTCCCAAAGAAGTCATGCGTACATGGGAAAGCTAAGGTTAACCTCTTGTTCATTATTCATGTTATGTGGTCGCTACTTAGACTTGTACTTCGAAGAAAAAAAATTATCTTTTGCATCGAAGTGCTATAATGATTGCTAAAGAAAATTTGGTCATTAAACAAACTAATATTTAGGGATTTATATTTTAGAAGTATAAAGAATGCAATATAAAGACATAATTGCTGTAGATTGTCATGCTTAAAATGTGATAAATTGCTATCTTTTAAATTAAGTTCTTAACAGAGGTAAGTTTGAACTTTAAGGAAACCTAACTTGATGTGGGATAAATTAGCCATTATTTAAAATTATTAGAAAATTTTGAAGAATATAGAGTTAACTTCTTAAATAATGAAACTAGATGAATCAACAAGGTGGTACAAAAAAGGTTATTTAGCCAAATAAATAAATTTTTAAATAATTTTTGAAAAAAAATAATTATTTAGATGCATAACTATGGTTTGAACTTGAAAAGTGATCTTTAAATGAGAATTCTCCTTTGAGAAAAGGCAAAGTTTTAAGTCTTGATTATACCTTCATAATAGGCCAGGCATTATGAGATATAAAAGTTTATAAATCAGTTGGGTCTGAAAAGTTGAAGGGGATGGTGCACTAATTTGGTTTAAGAAATGTTAATGATAATTGATAGTCTGGATGACGCAAAATGATTGGAGAAGTATTTCCACACTAATACTAAAAACAAAGGTATTTTAATATTTTGGTAATTATAATGGAATCAAATATATGGATTAAAGTAAAGTTATGTAAGAGTATAATCAAACATATGTTTGGAAAGTTCATGTAATTATCAGTAAATTGTTTTTTTTTTTTGTACATGTGGCGGCATTGTTGTGCTTTGGTAATTAATGGGAAAGTTTAAAGAGGAAAAATATATATTTTTATTAATCTTTGGTAATTCATGTAATGTGATTGATTTTCATTATAATTAATTTGGTAGGCATAAGAAAAAATGTTCAAAAAAATGTTAAAATTATTAGTTATTTATATGTTGGTGTTGGAACAATTGGTCTTAGAAGTTGTGTGACCAAAGAATTTTTTTGTTAAGACATGATCATATCAATAACCATCATCAACCATGCATCTTTTTGTGTTGACCCTTGTTACAGACATTCAATATGAGGCACCTAGGTCTATTTCTTTATAGTTGACATAATTTTGATAGATGAGATATCTTTTGAAGTAAATAGTTGAAATTCAATGGGGAAACATTAAGAGAAAAGGGCATAAGATCAATAGAAAATGTTGAGTACATAGGTTTGTGAGTATTATGACACTCGTGATAGCTATCATGTGCACTCCAAACATATGTTATATTTGTTGATTGATATTGTTTTCCACCCACCCTTGCGCTGAAAATATTTCGAAGTCATGCCTTGTGAGCACGGCTGGGATTAGCCAAACACGCCTAAGGATTTAATAATTATTAATGTAAGTTGGGCGCAATTAAATGAGCATAATTGATGAATAATTTTAATTGGTATGAAATTTGTGCTTATCAATCAATATTTCTGGAAGAGCATAATATTTAGATGTTATTTATTTAAGTATATGGTATCTTTTACACGAAAGAGTAAAAACATAATATTGTAAATGTCACTTATTGATGCTAAGGTCATATGGTTAGAAACTTGGAACGAAGAAGAATCTCAATAGTTTTATGGGTAATGAAAATGTCTTCAAAGGTTGGAATATTTTAACAACTCAAATCAAAACAATTATGTTTCATGTATTTGAGCTTAAAATGTTTCATGGTAGAATGGAGAAAGACAAAGATTTGTCAGAAGAAATTATACAATGAGAGAAAAAAAATGCAGCATGGGCAAGTTTTGGGCAAAGTTCTGTGAGTAGCGTGACACTTGTTGTGAATGTCTATAAGGTTATGTATCCACTCCAAACCATCTATGTGCTATTGGTTTGTGTTCTTTGCTACCTAAGTCGTATCTTTATCCCACGATAATTGCTAGGGCTATACTGAGATGGTGGTAATGTGGAAGCTTGTAGCCATGCCAAACTCCCCAAGGATTTGATAATATTAATAATGCTTGTTGGGCATAATTAAATGGGCATAATTAGCAAGTAATTAATAATTACAATTTACAATCTAAAGTAAGCTAACTAAAGTATTAATCAAGTATTTATTTTTACAAATTATTTAAGGTGTAAATAATTAGAGTAGTTAGTTTACTAGCAGATATTGATTCATTTCTAATTACAATTTGGCATAAATAATTTTTATGTGTATTTTATCCATTTATTAATTGATCTAACTAGGTAAATTTTACTTTATTATAATAATTGATGAAACAATTAGAAGTACATGGACTTTAATTTACTATCATAATAACTTGCTTAATTATTTCTTAATTGTATTATTTTTTGATTGATGGCATTTATGGATTGACTATTATAATAATTATGTATAATTAGTGTTTAGTTGAACTAGTTCATCCAAGTAGTTTTTATTGTACTATCAGGAAATTTATAACTAAATGATTAATTAAGACGCACGCGCGCACACACATATAATTGGAATAAATTGAGGAATGATTGTATTGTAGGGTTGGTCCAAGTCACATTTAGTACAAATAACTTAGTGGAGAACAAACTTAGGTAGTTTAGGCATCTATAATGAAAAAGAAAAAAAAATGCAGTTATAAAATAGGTTAATGTTCTATTGAAGGATTATGATGAGTTATAGAACAAAAATAGGTATGAAAAAAAAAAAAAAAAAAATGATAGAAATTATTTAACATTTTTTCATAGAATAGTTTTTCTACCTCATGTAATACTACTCAATAGGATTGAACTTAAATGAGGATTAATAAAGCTAACCTTATATAATTGGCATAATATTATTAATGATCATGACGTGAATAAAATATGCTTGCTACATCCACCCTCAATCTCTTTGCCGACCTCTCTTAGTGGGATAAATGCTTCTTGTTTTTGTTGTTGTATCTACCCCCAATCTCTCAAAATTTAGGGTCTATTTAAGACAACTTTTTCACTATTTTTTTAAGGCATGCCATATATCTATTTGACTATTATTTTCTTGTTACTTTTCAGAAATTTGTGTGAGAGAATTCACTTTTAAGATCAAATCTAGTAGATTATGATAGTTGCAAGGGAATTACTGTTAGAGTTTTGTCGAAAAAAATAATACTACCCACGTTCGCTTTCCCCATTCCAAACGGACCCTCATTTAAGTGCCCGACTTTATGAAGCTTCACAATAATAGATCAAATAAAGATGCAATTGAAGAGAGAAAAGAACTATGATAAACTAGAAAATACCATAAAATATTTTGGACTTTTTAGGTCTTGAAGGCACACTTTCAATTCTCTTCCTAAGTCACAAAAAAAAAAGCGCTAATAATTCTAATCTTCTCAGGTCTGACTTTCTGGGCACAAAATTTACATTTTACGACAGCCAGCCTCCATATGACGGTGCAAAACCTTCAAACGGTCGTTCTGGCCGACGTTTCGCCAGCAAGCAGATCAGCCCTCAGGTCCCCGCCGGCAACTTCAAAATCGGACACATCACATACAAATTTAACCTCCTTAAAACCAAAGGGCCGAGACGGATGCACTGCACTCTTCACCTTTCTCCTGAAACCACAAATTCTAATCCAAAATCATCCCTCCAAGTCCCTCCCGAACCTTTCGTCATGAAGAACAAAGCTCCTCGGTGGCACGAACACCTCCAATGCTGGTGCTTGAACTTCCACGGCCGAGTCACCGTCGCTTCGGTTAAGAACTTCCAGCTTGTAGCCGTTGGAGACGAGGAAACCGTGCTGCTCCAATTCGGTAAGGTCGGCGACGACATGTTCACCATGGATTACACTTATCCCCTCTCTGCTTTCCAGGCTTTCCTCATCTGTCTCACCTGCTTTGGCAATAAGATCGGCTGCGAATAATGGCGAGGTAGCGAGGCTGGTCTCAGGTGACATTGCTGTAGCTGGTAAGAAGTTGTGTGCTTTTGTTACCATGTTGGATGATGTTTTTTGTATTTATTATTTGCATTCTGGCCTTCCTTTTCCATTCATCAAACTGCTGTTTGTTCTGGAAGTGGTTTAACCTGTTGTGGCATATTGTTCCCAAACACTTCTGATGTGCAGCTTCTGTTCATCTTATAGAAAGTGTAATTAACCAAAACTTATATGAAGTAATCACATGATGAATGCTTGTAGTAGTAGAATTTATGACAAGAACATATCTAACTCCTTATCTATGCTTCAAAATGTTATATGAAAGGTGGCATAAATGTATAAAAGCCAAGCTTAGGTGTAGATATGCAAACATGTAGGAATTAGGGCTATTAAAAAAGCTCGTTGTTCGTGAACAACTCGTGTTCGGCTCGTTTGTTAAGTAAACGAGTCGAACATGAACAAGTTTTTAAAGCTCGAATTATAAATGAGCCGAACAAAAACGGCTCTTTATTCGCTCGTGTTCGGCTTGTTTTAGCTCGAAATAATAAAAAAAAAATTATATAATTATTTATATAGTAATATATTATATATATTTATATCTAAGTTTAAATCGTAATTGTTTTTGTGGTAATGTGGTTATGCACTTTGTTTTGCATATATTTTGTTTGGTTCGAATTCAGCACTTAACGTCTATTTTTTCAATTTAATTTTAACGAGCCAATTCGAGTCGAACACGAACACACTGTTAACGAACTGTTTTCGAACTCGAGCTGATTTCGAACAAGCCGAACAAGAGCCAACTCTGAGCTCGCTCAAGCTCGGCTCGTTTATAGGCCTAGTAGGAATTGAGCAGTATGTATGTAAATAACTCTATATTTTACTTGTTTTCACTTTTGTTTTACACTATTATTTGTTTTGGAAGGGGTACACTGAGCAATCATGATTAAGTTATTAACTTGATTAAATAAATAATGATTTATTAGAAAATAAAAAATTTAAAATTATTTTTTTTAAGATTTAAACTTTTTCAAATACTACTTGAAATTCTAGCCAGATTGGAATTCTATCTCCTCAATGGTTGTATGCTTTTACTTTTAAAGAGCATGTTGTCACTTTGCAATGTGGGACAAAAAATACAATCTATACTGCATGCAAAAAACATTTCTTCTATGGGCATTAACATGTGGACCACCCAATTCCTATGTATTTACATATTTAACTTATTTATTTGAGAAAAGTTTTTTTTTTTTTTTTTTTTGGAGAAATTTGAGAAAATTTAATTATTTTTAAGTTAATAAAAGAAAAAAAAATATTTTTTAAGCTTATTTTATTAGAATTAAATTAAATTTTTAGTTATAATTTATATAAGTTTTTAAGTCAATGTTAAGCTTTAATCGACCATCTAAACAATAATAATTTTCATTCCTTTAAATAATATTTTGTTTATGATTTATATTAGTTTTAAGTCAATGTTAAGTATTAGAATGCATCCAAATCCTTGATGTCAAGTATCGTTGTAGATCAGAAACCCATCTGTGTTAGAGGGAATGGTGAGAATTGGGGTTGTTATCAAGTAACAATAATAATTTTCATTCCTTTAAATAATATTTTATTTATAATTTATATTAGTTTTAAGTCAGTGTTAAGTATTAGAATGCATCCCAATCCTTGATGTCAAGTATCGCTGTAGATATGAAATCCATGTGTTAGAGGGAATGATGAGAATTGGGGTTGTTATCAAGCAATTTTTGAGTTTTTGGAAACTCTGCTTACAAGTAACAGATCATTGAAACTTTAACAACCTATGAATCAATCTTGATAAAGGTGCAGCAATGCGAGAGAAACCTTCAACAAATCTTCAATACTATCCAGCTAATCCAAGGAAACTACGAATCTCAATGATAGTGCTTGGCCTCGTCTAATCCATTATTGCTTTAATTTTAGCAGGATCAACAGAAATTCCATCTCCACTAAGAATGTGCTCCAAAAATGACACTTCTCGAAGCAAAAATTCATATTTAAAGAATTTGGCATAAAGTTTATTCTCTTGAAGAGTATTCAGTGCTGCTCTGAGATGTTGGGCATGTTCCTCAACATTTTTTGAGTATACCAAAATATCATCGATAAAGACTATAACGAATTGATCCAAGTTGGGAATGTTCATCAAATCCATAAAGACAATATGAACATTAGTCAGACCAAATAACATCACTAAGAACTCATAGTGCCCATATCGAGAATGAAAAACAGTCTTTGAAACATCTTCACCCTTGATCTTCAACTAATGGTAGCCTGATCGGAGGTTGAACATACAAAACACAAAAAAACCTTGTAGTTGATTGAACAAATCACATATACAAGGTAGTGGACTTGTTCTTCACGGTCACCTTATTCAATTCTTTGTAGTCAATGCACAACTGTATGGTTCCATCTTTCTCCTTCATGGACATAACCGGTGCTCCCCAAGGTGAGACACTAAGCTGGATGAATCTTTTATCAAGCAATTCTAGCAACTGGATTTTGAGCTCTTGGAGTTCTATAGTGGTCATCTGATATGGTGCTTTAGAAATTGGAGTGGTTCCTGGAAGTAGGTATATGGTAAACCAGATCTCACGATCCAGTGATAAGCCAGACAAATCTTCATGAAATACATCAGCAAATTCTTGAACCATTAGGACGCTATCTGAGGTAATTTGGAATTCTCATAATCGAGCACATGAGCTAGAGAAACAACATATCCATGTGATATCAACTTATAAGCCTTAATTGCCGAAATTAGGCAAGAAATAACTCCTTTACTGCCCTTGAAGTCAAAAGGAACTGAGCCAGCTATGCAAAAATTCACTCGTCACTTGTGACAATCGATAATTGCATGATATGTGGATAGCCAATCCATACCCAAGATTACATCAAACTTTACATTTATAATTACAAACTGATTTCTCAAATTCTCACTCATACGCCAATGACATAGATAAAACCCCACGCCATAGTTTTCATTTAAGGCTACTACATACAGGGCACCTGAAACATTATTATCAATAAATCAAGCACCTCCTTTCAGTCATTTTGCAAATTCAAAATCAAACATCAATAGTAAAGATAAAACCCCAATCCATATCACATTCAACCACAAAATCACAAAATCTAAAATTCTCACTTCAAACCACAAATGAGAAAGACAGAAATAGCAAAATCCAAAATCTTACTTCAAACAGCAAATAAGAAAGCCACAAATCGCAAAGAGAAATTTATTCCATAAAAAAAGGCAATATCGTGGGAGGACGAGAGCATAGTAAACAAACAGAGAGCCCGAGATCGGAGGGAAGAGGGAAAGTAAAAAGACTTTTCCTCTAAAAGTATTTCTTTATTATCACAAATTTATTTAAAAATCATGTTTATTTTGTACATTTTTTTAATTTTTTTATTTCTAAAAACAAAATAATTAGTTTTAAAAAATACTCAAAATATCTAAAAAAATGTAATTTTAGTAGATCTGAAATTGAATATATGGAATGTAACTTTAGTAATGACAGATCTAGTGGCAAAGCTGTAACTATCATTAAAAGCTATGAATGTTTTAGATATCCCGGGTCTATTGTGTCTATTGTTCAAAGTCAAAGTGATGATGATATAGATAAGGATGTTATTAGTAGAATTCAAGTTGGTTGGTTGAAGTGGATGAATGCATCAGGTCTATTGTGCGATAGAAAAGTATTGCTTAGACTGAAAGAAAAATTTTATAAGATGGTGTGAGACCTGTAATGCTCTATGGCGCAGAATGTTGGCTTTTAAAAAAGAAGCATACAAAAAAGTTAAGTGTTGTTAAGATGAGAAGCTTAGGTGGATGAGTTGCTTGACACTTAGAGACAAAATGTCAAATGAATATGTCTGTGAAAGGTTTGATGTAGCTCCAGTGGCAGACAAGATTAGATAGAGTCTTCTTAGATGACTTGGTCACATTAAACGTCGACCATCTGATGATCCAGCTAAGAGGGTAGATGTTTCAGATTCGACTTATGTTAACAAAGGCAGAGGTAGACCTACAAAGACTTGGGCTTATTGTATAAAAAATGATCTTCATCTATTAGAATTAATGAAAACATGACACTCAATAGGACACAATGGAAAAGAAGGATTCATGTAGTCGACCCCACTTAGTGGGATAAAGGCTTGCTCTTATTGTTGTTGTAAAACATCTAAAAAATATTTTAAGTGACTTTAAAAACAACTAAACATGTTATAACAATATAATAAATCAAACATATTTTATTTCAGACAGAAAATAAATAATATAAAATTAAAATAATAAAGAAAAAACAAAAGTGATCCCAAATGGCCTTTAAAGAAAGCAACTGACTTGTACAGTTACACAGTAGCAAAGTCGTATAATGCCCCTTTTTTCAAAATATTTATACCGATTCTTTCAGTTTTCAGGCATCCCTATGATATCCAAAAAAAAACATCAAAATTGCCCTCTGATTGCTGATTGAATATCTTGAGGATTGTTGACCATGTCGAACTAATAGTGTGGTTTGTTTGGTGCAGTTGCAAATTAATAATAAGATGTTGTAAATAAGCTGGTTTTTTGTTTGTTTTTTGTAGTTTGAAAATAGTTGTGCTGCAACTGTTTCTGAAAAAAATGGTTATTATGCTCCGATATAGTAATGTTGTTTGTAACAAAACTGTTCATACTAATCATTCTATACTTTAAAAATAAATATCCAGTGTAGAATATTATAAATAAAGATAGACACCTCACTAAACAGTGAGTAGTATGACTAACTAAATTAATAAAATGACTATTAAAATAATAAATAATAATTAATAATATTATTTTAAAATACTAACGGTACTAATGGCATCTGACACGAGCTAAACCGTTCTCCAGGGATACTCTTCATACTCGATGATTCTCAGTGGTGAAATCTTTCAGCTCATCTGCTCACCTGAAATAGTCATAGTTTTTTTGTGATTTTCCGTGAACACCTATAAAACTGTCTCCTGTAGCTATGTGATTGACGTGAAATAAACATTGAAGTCCACAACCAATACAATAAATATCATATGCTTAAGGAAAAGAAAAATACATGAACTGTATAAAATACTTATACAATAAACAGTAAATGTCTTCAACAACCCTTACAATTAACAAAAATAAAAACTAACATTCTC